AAGAATCTGAAGGATCGAAGAGGAATTTTCCAAATCGATATCCAAGAAGGATTACCTCGGGTAGGGTCCAAACAAGGATCAAAGAGGAATAAGAGGAGTTGAACAAGGTAGAAAATTTTTACAGGTTGAGCACTGAAAAGTGCGATTATGCGATTATCCAAATCGACTTCCAAGCAGATTACTATAAGAATCTGAAGGATCGAAGAGGAATTTTCCAAATCGATATCCAAGAAGGATTACCTCGGGTAGGGTCCAAACAAGGATCGAAGAGGAATAAGAGGAGTTGAACAAGGTAGAAAATTTTTACAGGTTGAGCACTGAAAAGTGCTGTTTAAATTTGTTGTAGCTTTAGGTAGTAGTAACACTTCCTTAAGCAAAAAGCAAATAGATCCGCACGGCAAGAGAGCACGATGCGGACTGAAAATTAGATGTGATGGTTTCTGCATCGCTTCGATGATCGCTCATTGATAAACTGCATATAATTTTTTGAATAGAATCCACTATGAAGTTGGACAGAACTAACCTATTTTGACCTGAGATGAACAGCTAAATAAAAGATTACATTGAACAATGTTCCTTTTGTGCTAAATGTGGATAATCAACACAGACGATGAAAATTCATTTCGTTCCTGTTCATGTTTTTTCAACTCGTGTCTATTGGTGTCTTTTTGCAGGAGTATCAGGGGAAACAACGGACATTACTGCACAGAGTTGACCCTAACTCTGACTTTTTCTAGCTAAATATTCTCAGATATTTATATCCCTCTTCCGTTATGAATGCTTGTAAATAAAATTTTGCTAATCACGTTGGCCAAATTCCAGCTTCCTAGTGTTTCCTACCCGGGAAATGTACCAGAATTCTCATTTCCAGATTCCCACGAAACTAGTTTGACTTCCCGGGAAACATTTTTTTTGTACAAAAACCATGCTAAACATAATGTTATTAAAAATAACCACACAACCCAGGATTTCCTTGGAGAAAATATAAGAGCCTATCCAGAGAAGCCAGTAGACACGACTAGGGGATGTTCGAAGAAACTGCCGGGAAAAGTAGAAAGCACTTGCAGGGGAACTCTGAAAATACTTCCCGTGTTAATTGAAAGACTTTTGGGAAGGTATGAAGAAACTTCCAGGTAAAGTCGGAAGTGTCTTCCGTGGGATGTCAGAAAATTTTTCGGAGTGAAATAATTAAAAAAAAATCGGCGAAGTAGAAATTCACCATCGTCAAAAAAGCTGGAAGAAACTTCCGGAAAAGTTGGAAAAACTTTTGGGGAAAATTGATAGAAATTCCTGGCGAAGAAACTTTCCAAACGAAACCGGCAGACGCTTCTGAGACAATCTGTGAGAAAATCCCGGTCGAAGTAAGAAGATACTTCCAGGAAAAGTTGAAAGAAATTTCTGGGAGTCAGAAGACTCATGCAAATTTAGGCACCCGTATGAAATTTTCAGAATAATTCAGAAAACTTTTCCGTGGGAAGTCCGGGTGAAACGGAAAAGAATTTCCACTTGCAGCGGTAGCCAGTAGGACTTCTGAGGGTAATCTGAAGATACTGTTGGAACGGACAGTTGATGAAGCTTCTGTTGAACGATGAAATTTGCGGGAGAGAGTGGAAGATTCTTCGAAGGCAAGTTGGAAGAAACGTCCATACAAAGTCGGACGAAACCTCCTAAAGAAATCATGAGAATCCTTCCGAAGAAGCTAGTCAAAATTTTCAAGGGGAAGTTTGAAGAAACTTCCAGGAAATTTCGTAAAAATCTTCAGGGGGAATTCTGGTGACGTTCAAATTTTAATAAATAACTACCGTAAATTATAACTCGGTCCACTTGCTAAAAATATTTCCCGATTCCTGAGAATTCCCGGGAAGAGTCTTCAGCTATTTTCAGATTCCCGAGTAGCTAGAAATGGCTGTGAAATGCAAACACTAACATAACCACACCGCCAAAAGCTTCAAAGACTTTACACTTTAGCCATGAATCCATAGAAAGCAAAAGATGCCTAAGCATCCGGTGGCCTGGACAAGATCCATCTCACTTGGATGAATGAAAACTTAATCTTGAAATCAAAACATTCAGTCAGACGACAATTGTTTGAACACGTTTGATGAAAAATGGCTACTTTGTTTATTTTTGAGTAAATATGAGTAATGAATCACTGTTAATATATTAACTCTGAGTATAGTTTTCTTGCCCCTTGGGATTTTTACGAGTTTAAGATCCGCGAGATGTTATATCTCTCTGTGTTACACTTTTCAGAAATGTCTGGGTTCATAATTTTGAACAGTTTTTTTTAGACCAGGATCTTGTATTTCGGCCTAATCGCCCATTTTGGGCCTATCGAGCAGAAAACATAAAAAAATCCAATGTTTCAGAGTTAACAAGTCAATTATGCGTTTGGTACGATACTTTAGTTCAATAGCTACCAAACGAAGTCAATGAGAACGGTTGAAATTTTTATTTATTTATTTATTCATCTTACTTTTTGTCGTCTTAATGAATGTGATGATTAAGCGGCGCCGGTAGTGTAGTGGTAAGCGTGATTACCTCTCAACCCAACAGGCGTGGGTTCAATCCCAGTCGGCGCCGCCGGAATGTTCTGAGGCATAACATATCTGATCAAGGGAAGTAAAGCCGTTGGTCCCCGGTTCATGAGTTGATGGGTCGATAGGTAGGGTTCAGGTGTGGGAGCTGCCTCCCTGGCATTGGTAGCATTGGTGCTCAGCACGGAAAACAAGATCGACGGAAAATAAATCAAGGAAAAATAAATAAAAATGAATGTGATGAGGAAAAGCCAATTTAAATGGCGTAAATACACCATAACTTTTCACAATACACAGTACAAACATAACAAAACAAGCACATCCGTGAACATAGAGTAAACATGGCTTCAAATATCAACTGTAGTCAAACACATAAAAACGTTCACAGTAACGAATCTCACTCGATCCATTAATGCAATTCAGTTAGTCTACGCTTAAATGTTGCCACAGTAGAGTTGAAGTCGAAGAGAATGTAGACTTCGTTAAACTTAGCCGATATGAAGCGGACAGGATCATGAAGGCCGTACAAGGAGTTCCGGGGCTCAAGCAGCAAAAAGTTTCGTTGGCGAAGCAATCGTTCAGGAACGTAAAGGTTAAGTTGACCTAGTATCTCCTAATTCTCCTGTGAGAATTTTAGCAACAAACACCGCTTGGGCATCATTCCGTCTCTGCTCAAGCATCTGAAGTCCCAATAATCTGCATCGATCTCCATATTGTGGTAAGCTCAACGGATCTCGCCATGGAAGGCCTCGTAGTATCTCACAAATTGTATCTGAATTGCTTCGATCCTCCCAGTCCAGGTTGACTGGTACTGGCACCATACTACAGAGTTGGATTCCAGAATCGATCGCACCAGAGCGCAGTGCAGAGATTGGAGAGATTTGGCTCTACAGATAATATCGTTGTAGTGCGATCGGAAGGTCAGCACAGAATCTAGGATGACGCCAAGATCACGAACTTGAAGAACACGCTTAAGAGGCTGACCATTAATTGAATAATCGTGCGTAATCGGGTTGTGATGAAACGATATAATGTTACATTTGTGGATGCTCAGCGTCAGCATGTTCCGGGTGCACCAATCAGCAAAACTATTCAGCATAGTAGAGCATAGCAGTCCTCGATACCTTTAATGATCATGTATATTTTGACGTCATCACCGTAAAACACACGGCAGCCAAATGGTAGTACACGCTATTTCAAAACTACCCAAATTTGGGTAGAATCCACTCAGATCTGGCAAAACTGAACCTACCCAAAAATGGGTAAACTTTGTTGGAAGCGACAAGTTGACAAATGAACAAAGTCGATTGGATTCATGTCGAGTTTGCCCATTTTTGGATAGGTTCAGTTTAGAACGATCTGGGTGGACTCTACCCCAATTTGGGTAGTTTTAAAATAGCGTGTACATGGAGAAGCTCGTTGATGAAGAGTGAGAATAACAAAGGACCCAGGTTGCTACCTTCTCGAACGCCAGATAAGTTTGAAAATTGTTCCGAAGATTCAAAATCGATATTAACAGTGAGGTTCCGATCCGTAAGATGTGATCCAAACCAACTAACAAGATCCGCAGATACACCAATTCTTCGTAGACGTTTCAGTAATATTTCGTGGTCAACTTTATTGAAAGCTGATTTCAAATCAGTGTATGTGGTGTCGATCTGAGCACCAGCATCAATACATACGAAGCAAATTGGACGAGATGTATAGATGTTGATCTGATATGAATGTTTACACCCATTTTTCTCAAAAAACAAAAAGAAGCGCTCCGATCGAATCAATTTTAAACCTTCATCCGATAGGCCGAAGTGAATTCAATGGCGTTTGAATGGCGTTTCAATGCGTTAGGTCTAATTTAGAATCCGTAGGCCGAGTATGGAGTCTTTATCAAATCTTACTCTGTAAATCGTTTCATTGATGCAGGGTGCCTTCCATTCATTTTGACTAAAAAAATGTTTTAGGAAATTATGGAATAATAAGATATTATGATGGTATTTTGCATGTGTAAGGAACAAGAAAAGATTTTAAAGTTTGTGTTAGACACATAAAACCTGTAAATTTAGCTTTGACAGAGCCACAATGAACGATTTTCTGATCGCCTCTTCGCGAAGAGTTAAGAGCGAAGAGTGGGTGAGATAAATGACAAAATCGTTTATTGCGACTCTCGTGCAGCAAGATTGGCTGGTATTATGTGTCAAACACAAACTCCACAATATTTTCTTGTTCCTTACAGAAACAAAATATTATTATAATATCTTATTATTCCATAATTTCATAAAACATTTTTTTAGTCAATATGAATGGAAGGCACCCTGCATTGATGTATGACATCTTTTAGGAAATGTATCATAAACAACTTTAATTACTATTTGACTGCTAAGCCAAAAACCGCACTTCCGAATTGTGTACCAGTCCAATGCAATTGACGAAAACATCCTATTTTTCATTACCTCTATTCAATTTCAGAGTAAAACGTTAGAAGACAGTATAGAATTCACAGCAACCACATTAGCGATAGATGATAGTCCACTTAGTAGAGCGAAGCGAAATGGCAACTTTAGGGGAGCGTGAGTATTAAAGATTACGGCAGAAGCAATGGCACCGACATTTGACTATCTTCGATATCTCCTAGATTCCGCGGCCAAACACAATCACAGTACTTACACTTCGGCGAGAACCAGGACGGCAAGGCAGAAGCCGAAGCGACTCAACATGGATCCAGAGCGGTAGTTGGTACGGCCGTAAAACATTGAGCCAAGAAAGATAAGAAGATGTAATTGTTAACCTCATTTCAGCGGGTTCCAACGGTATGGGACAGGCTCAAAGTCAGTCAATGGGAGGTGACTGTGGCTCATGTCTAGGAGTTGGCCTTGACGGTGGAAGCTACGTATATGGTGAGCAAGCAATTGAATTGAATTGATAACCATTGTAATTGCTTTTACTCGACAGATTCACGACCGGACCCATTGAGAGTTCCAGATGGTGGTTCTCACCGGCCAGGAGATAGATTGAGATTACCGGATGGATACGATTACCGTGTTCCTGGCACTGATGGCGCAGGAGCGGGAGCTGGTCAGCGACCTGGCACTACGGATACCGGATTTAGACCAGGTTCGGATAGCTTTGGACAATTTGGACAGCCTGGTGTGTTACGCCCTGGTGGAAGACCGGGTGATGCAGGTTCCGGAACTGGGACTCCGGGTAGACCAGGTGAGACTGGCACAGGAGCTGGTGTTGATGCGTTTGGCAGACCAATTAGTGGAAGACCAGGGACATCAGGTCGCCCTAGTGATAGTGGTGCAGGAGCTGGTGTAGATCAATATGGAAGACCAATCAGTGGAAGACCCGGTGATGATACATATGGAAGACCAGGAGTATCTGGCCGTCCAGGTGACGCAGGTGCAGGAGGTGGTGTAGATCAATATGGTAGGCCAATCGGTGGAAGACCCGGTGATGATACATATGGAAGACCAGGAGTATCTGGCCGTCCAGGAGACACAGGTGCAGGAGCTGGTGTAGATCAATATGGTAGACCAATCAGTGGAAGGCCTGGAGACGATACCTATGGCAGACCAGGAGTTCCTAGCCACCCGGGAGATGCTGGTGCCGGTGTAGATGCTTACGGTAGACCGCTCGGTGGAAGACCAGGTACAGGGCGACCAGGTGAATCAGCTACTGGTGCTGGGCTAGATGCATTCGGCAGACCTATAACTGGAAGACCAGGAGATGACTTAGCGGGAAGACCAGGTGCCGGAAGACCAGGAGACAGATTGGTTGATGTCTATGGTAGACCAATAGGATCTGACGGAAGACCTGGGGATCATGGAGCAGCTAATGGAATTGGAGTTGATTCATTCGGTAGGCCAATCGTACCAGGAATAAGACCCGGAGACACAGCAAGTGATGGTTCAGCAAGACCAGGAACTGGATCGACGCGACCAGGAGAAGTGGACTCATTTGGACGGCCTATTGGGCCTGACGGACGTCCAGGTCAAGTACCAGGTTATGTTCCTGGAGCAGCTGGAGTACCCGGAACGATCGGTGGCCCAGGAGCAATAGGTGGACCTGGGTCTATAACAGGTAGGCCAGGTTCTGGTGCAGTACCTGGTTCATTGAGCGGTCCCGGAACGGTAGGTGTCCCCGGAGCTATGCCTGGTACAACTGGTGGACCAGGTTTAGGCACACCAGGAACAGTTGGAGGACCAGGAGGAGCTGGTGATATTGGAAGACCCGGTTCATTTGGAGGTCCTGGTATGATTGGTGGGCCTGGAAAAGTTGGAGGACCTGGAATGATAGGAGGAATACCTGGTACCCCCGGAGTTGGTGGTACTCCATCTGGACCGGCAGGACCAGGATATATTCAGAGACCAGGAGATGGTGGATATTATATTCCAGGACACGGGCCAGCAGGACCTCAATCACATATTATGGGACCATCTCTGAGCACTGTTGGAACTACGAGTGCATCAGGTGTCTATCACACGGGAGCCCATTCCGTAACACTCCCCGGACATGACCACACTGTAGTTAATCCCACTGGTGGACTCACCGTTTTGGTCGGAACAGGAAGCCCGAAGCAGACGGTTATTGGTTCTGACAGTCGTTTGGATGGGCATGGTCCAGTAAAAATCCTCTCAGGCCCGGCAGATAGCAGTGGACCACCCAAACAAACAGTTTACGCACATCCTGGCGGAGTTACAGTGTTGGTAGGAACCGGAGGACCGCATCAAACTGTACACCATTTACCAGTATCTGGAGGAGGCTATGTTCATGGAACTGCAGGAGTTGGCACTGTCGGTGGTCCCCAAACAATACACACTGGTGGTCAGATGACACATCCAGCTGCATGGATTCCTGGTACCGGTACTGGCAGCCATGGAGGACAATATCCCGTTGGTCCAGGAGTCAGTGGTCAATATCCCAGCAGGCAGGTACCTGGAGGAGTTGGACAATTGCCAGGAGGTATTGGAACTGGTCACTATCCTGGTGGACAACACCCAGGAACAGGGCAGATTGGTCCCGGAGCTAGTGGTGGGCAATTTCCAAGTGGCGTAGCTGGTGGGCAGTACCCTGGAGGTACTGGTGCTGGACAGTATCCCGGAGGATATGCAGGGGGCCCAGGTACTGGACAGTATCCGGGAGGTGTAGGAACGGGACAATATCCAGGTGGACAATATCCGGGAGCTAGTACACCAGGCTATGCAGGAGGTCCAGGTGTTGGTAGTGGTCAATATCCAGGTGGAGGAGCTGGTGCTGGGACGGGACAACATCCAGGAGGTACAGGTTCTGGACATTATCCAGGTGGTGCCGGTATAGGACAATATCCAGGTGGAGGTGCAGGACAACATCCAGGTGGAGGGGGCACCGGTGCTGGACATTACCCTGGCGGAGGATCGGGCAGCAGTGCAGGGCAATATCCAGGAGGGGTGGGAACTGGACAATATCATGGTGGACAACTGTCTGGAGGAGCAGGTGCCGGTACAGGGCAATACCCAGGAGGAGTTGCCACTGGACAATATCCTGGTGGACAACTGCCTGGAGGAGCAGGTGCCGGTGCTGCACAATACCCCGGAGGAGTGGGTACTGGACAATATCCTGGTGGACAACTGCCTGGAGGAGCAGGTGCCAGTGCTGGACAATACCCAGGAGGAGTTGGAACTGGACAATATCCTGGTGGACAACTGCCTGGAGGAGCTGGACAATACCCAGGAGGAGTTGGCACTGGACAATACCCTGGTGGACAGTTGCCTGGAGGTGCCGGTGCCGGTACAGGACAATACCCAGGAGGAGTTGGCATTGGACAATATCCTAGTGGACTGCCTGGAGCAGCAGGTGGCGGTGCTGGACAATACCCAGGAGGTGTGGGCACTGGACAATACCCAGGCGGACAACTGCCTGGAGGAGCTGGACAATATCCAGGGGGAGTTGGAACTGGACAATATCCTGGTGGACAACTGCCTGGAGGAGCAAGTGCCGGTGCTGGACAATACCCCGGAGGAGTAGGCACTGGACAATATCCTGGTGGACAACTGCCTGGAGGAGCAGGTGTCGGTACTGGACAATACCCTGGAGGAGTTGGAACTGGACAATATCCTGGTGGACAACTGCCTGGAGGAGCAGGTGCCGGTGCAGGACAATATCCTGGTGCACAACTGCCTGGAGGAACAGGTTCCGGTACTGGACAATACCCAGGAGGAGTAGGCACAGGACTATATCCTGGCGGACAGCTGCCTGGTGGTTCAGGAGCAGGTACTGGTGCTGGACAATACCCAGGTGGAGTAGGCACAGGACAATATCCTGGCGGACAACTGCCTGGAGGAGCAGGAGCAGGTGCTGGTGCTGGACAATATCCAGGGGGAGTAGGCACAGGACAATATCCTGGCGTACAGCTACCTGGTGGTGCTGGAGCAGGTTCCGGTACAGGGCAATACCCAGGGGGAGTAGGCACAGGACAATATCCTGGCGGACAGCTGCCTGGAGGAGCAGGTGCAGGTGCCGGTGGTGGACAATACCCAGGGGGAGTAGGCACAGGACAATATCCTGACGGACAGCTTCCTGGAGGAGCAGGTGCAGGTGCAGGTGCTGGACAATACCCAGGGGGAGTAGGTACAGGACAATATCCTGGCGGACAACTGCCTGGAGGAGCAGGTGCAGGTGCAGGTGCTGGACAATACCCAGGAGGAGTAGGCACAGGACAATATCCTGGCGGACAACTGCTTGGTGGTGCTGGACAATACCCAGGGGGAGTAGGCACAGGACAATATCCAGGAGCAGGACAGTATCCAGGTGGAACAGGAACTGGACAATATCCAGGTGGTGCAGGCGTTGGACAATATCCTGGAGGCTCAGGCACAGGACAATATCCAGGCGGTGGAGGAGCTGGAACTGGGACCGTAGGCTACCCAGGTGGACAATACCCGGGACAGCACGCAGCAACGGTAGATCAATATCCAATCACCATTCCTCAAGGAGGTGCCGGAACAGGTACAGCTGTGGGTGGACCTGTTAATATCCAGGTGGCTGAAGAAGATGACGACGCTTTCTCGCAAGCCGAAACTTCAGTGAAAAACGGCGAAGCAATAGCTAGCGCTCAAGGACGCAAGAACGGTGGCACAGCGCAAACTCAAGTGTCCGGAACATATACAGGAGCCAGTTCATTCAGTGCGAGTGCACAAACAAGCGATAGCGACAGGTCGGCACAAGCACAAGTGTCGGGCGGTAAGGACGGTGCGTTGAGTTCTGCACAAGGTGCAGGAGGTGTCGGTAAATCGCAATCTCAGGTTCAGGTGAACTCAAAAACCGGTGGAACGTCTGCTACTTCGCAGAGCGGTGGCCTGGGTCACGAAAGTCAATCGGAGGTACGATATAATCAAGAATGGATTCGAGAGGGGAGATTGACTTTGGATATTTCTAGGTTGTAGCAAATGAGAAAGGTGGCCTAGCAGATGCTCAGTCCAGCGGTCCAGGACAAACTTCATCGCAGGCTCAAATCGGTTTCCGTCCACAAGGAGAAGACAGCGCACAGTTGAATATTTTCAACGGTGGAGGACAATCATCGGCTCAGTCGGGAGCTCACTCCGGACAGAGTCAGTCTCAGATCAGTGGAAACTTCAAGTAGGTTGGAGGTAGTGTTGTTGATACAAAGTGTTTGATGAATCATTTCGTTATAGATTTGGAATTTCCTACCATGGAGCTGCACAAGCGGCATCGGGAACGAAAGAACAAGTATCCCGCTACCGAGAAAAGGGAAAGCAGTTATTTCAATCCATCAACCTATACGGCCGGAATAATAACGGGTACGCGAACTAACGGCACGCTGGAGATTTAACTATAACTAACCAACATAGCTGCATGACTCTATTCAAACACCAAACACAATAGCTGACACAATGCATTTTTCTGTTTTCTCTTTTGCACACAAATACGATACATATGCACGAATACACCAAACAGAGCATCGGTAAGACGTGAATCAGACGGGGTAGACGCCAATGGAATGCGATTGCGGACATCGCAGCAAAGTTCAGGTGCGTATAATTGACCTGATGTAGACGTACGATGTAATCACAGAAGACTTCTTGTTTTTCTAGTTACCGACTTCCAGAACATTCTTCCCAAACCAGACGAAGAAGTCGAGTACGAGGAAGAGGATGAAGAATACGAAGAAGAAGACTACGAAACAACTGATCAATCTGTCCTAACAGGAGTTGAGGCTAAATCTCGAAAGACATCAAGCGATGATGAAGAGAACAAAACAACCATTCATGAGCTACCACCTCCAACTGTTCCTGCGGGATTGGTTACCACAACTACGCGTCCAAACCGAAACTACAACATCAACAACGGAAACGGGAAGACATTCTCCCAGAATACCCCATCGCAAAAGCAAACTGCATTCGTACCCAATCTGGACAAATACCGTCTAATTCAAACTCAAAACGGCAAAACAGCAGTTCACGATGCTTCCAGCGAGAAGGCTTCGGGTGGAATCGGTGATACCCATGATCAAACATCACCAACCAGTACAGATTCCACCACGCTGCAGGTGCCAAGTTCCACACCAAAGTACCACACTCGATACCTACCTTCAAAACACGCGGATTCGTCTGGTAATCGCATCAACTCGGGTGTCAAGCCCCCCAATCCGGAGAGCTACATTTCGGTCACGAAACAGGTGACCGGAATCGATGAAAACAGCAACGTGCCTGCCATTCCGGGCAAGAACTACGAGTCAACTTACTACACAAAGTCCTCGACGTGCGGATATTTTACCTTCTCGTGTAACATCGTGTACGGTACAAACGGTCGGAGCAAGATTTGCAGGCCAAAACCACCGACGAATGGAAAGTGCTAGGTAAAAGCTACTTAGGAGATTAGGTGAAAAATAGAGCTTAAGGACAACACACACACACACTCTCACACGCACTCACACAAACACAAAACTGCCATCGTGGAAAACAGCGATTTAACCGTTAGTTAACTTAAGGCTGCAAGTTTTCCTCTCATTGCAATACTGCCAGACGCTGTCGCCAAAGAAGCGCTCGCGTCGCCATAGACTCGCAGTGCCACTAATAGTAAGAGTTTTATCTGTACCAAGAAATAAAACCTAGTGATCCAACGATAGTGAATCCAATAAACATTGTACTTCCAATTCAGCAGCAAGGACATTTCGGATGAAAGAAGGCCCCACGTTTTCTTCTGTTTGTCTTGTCAAGAAAGTCTTTATATCTTTGCACGATCTGTTTGAGCTTCTAAAAATCATAAACCTGTCTGGGCTGTTCCAAACCCTTAAGAGAATTAACAAATCTAAACAATCAAGTCTGATAGGCCAATAAGTACACGGATTGCACGAACACAAAAACAATGGAAAATTTCCCAGCTAAATTTGGTTCCAATTGTTGCGGTGATTTAAGTTGAACTAGTGTTACTATTACTAGTACTGTCACTTTCTTTTAGAACTACTCGGAATTCGAAAAAAAAATTAATACTATTCATCAATCCATTTTCTGCGCCCACGAATTGATGTGATGTGATGTGATGGCTTCTTAATGCACGAATGCAATCTATATCACGAGTACGATAAACAACAACGATTACAGTAAATGCATCAAACGAGTACAATACACAGTTGAAACTAATACTGCGCGTCGCGATGATAAATATCTAGGTAGGTATGGGATAAGATAAATGCCTTTTTCTTGTAAGTATTTGCCAAAGGGATTTTGATTTGTTTCTTTTTTTTCGAATCTGATTTGTCAAGACCATGTATGCCAAGGGCGATCACAAGCGTCGTCAATCGTTGTCGCTGTTGTCATCGTTGGCGGACAGAAGACTGGTCGATCCGTAACTACGGAGTCTGCGGATGTGCGGGAGAAAAGAATTCAAAATTTAAATTTTTAACATTGCAAAATTAGTTCTTATTCATTTTTATAAACTAAAGATGAACACATTTCTATTCCTGAACGCACAACACACAACTAATGTCATTTTATTTATTGAGTCATGCTAGATCGTTAATTGCAGGATGGATTTTGTATAAAAGCAATGGGTTTATTGTAAAAATATGAGCTACCTTCAGTTTGAGAATTGTGAATAATAGGCAACGAAATTATACTAGTGCTAGCGGAAATATTTTCGAGGCTCCTGTTAAAAATCCAGCTCAATCGACTTGAACTAGGGTAAATGATGGCTTCGGCAGCCATCGACTGTTTTTGACAACCACAATTTAAACGTTATTTTCGCTGTATTTTTTCACTCGATTCCTTAGACTTTCAGCTTCAATCCTAATACATTTTTACGGCTGAGAAAATCTGTTATGCCAGGTGTTTCTTCAAATGAAACATAAGCACATGCAAATACGGCTGATTTCGAGTTGCCGATGATAGAACAGCTGGTTAACACACAGTTTAAACGGAAAGGTTGCCGAAGTAAAAGAGGATGCCGACAATAGTCTCACTCACCTGAGAAGTTTGGAGCGCATTAAAAAACGTTTTCTACCCGTTTCGGACAGTTTTGTCGATTGGAATGGATAGAAGAACTAGCAGCAAATAAATGTAAACAAACAGACACGTCATATGTGTGCGTGACACTGAGAAAATGCTAACAGAAGTGCGGAAGCTGCTTAGATTGCAGAGAATACGTAAATTCCTCTAGGTACTTTTAACTTTTCGTATTTCCCTTCTTACAGAAAATCTATGGTTCGGCTTTACCAGTTTAATATGTACGGAAAAAATTCCCATCACGGAAATGTCTCGTTTTCTGATGACAAAATTAAGCATTTTTGTGCACAAAACGCAAGGAGATTTTCATTTACTCAATTTATCTATCTATCTACCGTATGCGTGATAATGTTTGCACCATCGTACAAACACAGACAAACAGACGTAACTCTTTGAAAAACTTGTTCTTGAAAACATAGTATCTCAAAACATATAATCTCAGTAACGACATCTCTCTGGCTTCTCGCGGAAAACAAGCTTGCTCGCTAACTCGTAAACAATATTGCATAAAAGTTCTATAGAAGGTATAGAAACGTCAAAGTGATCTGATGCTAGCGCTTCGGCGAGTAGTTCGCGGAACTGATAATATTCAAATCAACCGTTAAATGCATGAACGAAGATACACAATGAAGAGTTACGTCTGTTTGTCTGTGGTACAAATAAGGTTCCCGTTTCACCTGTGCATACAATGCCTTGGTTTTCTTTGCATGCACGTAACCTATTGGCGTTGACGGCGACTCTGTAGCTCTTTACTTCTATGCGATAATCCATAAGCAAACGTCAGACTGTGCGTGAAACATGACGAACTTTGTACTAGAAATACTCAGAGGGAGAGATAGGCGGAGATAATGTTTTGAGCCAAATGAACTGTCAAAGTCTGAGCCAATCGAACATTCCAATTAGATTTTTTCCGTATATTTCTTATTCTTACTAGAATAAATTTGAGAGTGTTGCAATCGAACAGAAATACAATCATCTTTATGTTTTGTGTGCTTCTCAAATTCAACTAGTTTTTGGAATCAAAAACAATATTCTAACTCTATGGATTAATTGATCTTCGTTGGTTAATGAATGGCACCAAGAAAAGTGCAAAATATTGCGATGCAATCAATTATTATTTTGCACGTAAATCGAATCAAAAATACAAGGCATTTGAAATGTTAGCTTCTAGCAAGGGTTGCAAGATAATTTAGGAACAAATCCCTGCTGCCGAATTGTATTTTGTTTTCTCCGCCTATCCCTCCCTATGAGTGTTTCTACTTTGTACTATCCTTTCACTCCACCGAAAATTCCAATAAGAAACTGTCTATATTTGCTGGAAGAGCCGAGGGGTGCGACACATCTAAATCTCGATTTTAAATGATCGAAAAATCTCACACTAGCGAATCAATCTACGAAAAATCTTTTTTCATCTCTTGCATCTAAACCCATCTACTTACATCGCTCTCCACCTTTTTGCACGAAATCTTCAAAATCATAATCAATCGTGTTTCTATCTATTAAGCGCGAGTGCATCTCACAACAGCAAAGCAAAAAATTTCCTGCATCTTAGATAGAGTCGCCCCCGTCGGGAAGAGCAAATTTTTCAATGGTGCCGTCAACGCCAATAGCTCATACCGTAGTAGGCTGTTTATACACAAATGATTTACTTAGTTTGACAGTTGCACCATGACGAAGTGGCAGCGTATTCATGATTTATCCCACGCGCAAATGTTGCAAAAAGACATTTCAATCACCGTGGGAGTGTCCCGGTGGACCGTCAAAAGGGTTTTAGACCGAGAAAAGAAAGGACAACTATCCGCGAAGGTGGCCACAGGTCGTCCGAGGTCAGTTCGGGTTCCGAGGGTTATCGCTGCTATCAAAAGGAAGATTCGGGTGAATTCAGGGCGTTCAATAAGGAAAATGAAGATCGTACAGGAAGGTTGCGGGGCGAAGTCGAGGACACGGAAAAAAAACTCTTGAACTTCCTTAAGCGAAAAAATCCGGTAATCCTGTTCACCGACGAGAGCATGTTTACCGTCGATCCTGTATCAAATTCCAAAACCGACCGGTATAGTAGTTCTCTTCCGGTAAAAGACGTGACCGACGAGCACAAGAACGTGTATCTGACCAAGCATCCTGCTAGCGTTATGGTGTTTGGATTGGTGGCTTCCGATGGCAAAAAAAATTGACACGGTGTTCATTCCAGAAGGCGACAAGGTCAACACGGAGGTCTACAAGTAAGTATGTTCTTCCGTGGATTGAAGAACAGTACGGTCCGAAGCCAAATGTTGTATTTCAACAAGATGGGGCTCCGTGCCACACCTCGAACCGCACTCAGAAGTGGTTGCAGAAATATCTTCCGTTCTGGGCGAAGGATATGTGGCCGCCATCCAGCCCCGATCTTAATCCACTGGATTACTTAATATGGCGCGTCATGAAGGCCAAGGCCTGTTCTAAAGGCCACCCGAGTACAGCAAGCCTCAGACAAACATTGACCCGTACCTGGAGAGAAATCGGATCCAGACTACATTATTAGAACCTTCCGTGCATTCCGGAAGCGTGTGGAGGCCGTAATTGCAGCAAGTAGCATAAACTCGAGCTAATATTGAATCCCGAGCAAGGCCGGGCACGCTCAGCTAGTAGATTATAAAAAAAGCGAAAATTGTTTGGAGGAATTTCTAGCTAAAATTTTCCAATCGCGAGATATTCGCGATCAATCATATCGATTCGAGATTTTTTTGCTTTTTTTCTAGCGCCCTGGAGAAAACCTTACCTTGCCTCGAAGTGTTTCTGATTAATTGACAAGGTCATGTGGTAATTGGTCATTGCGAGAATTCAATACTGTTACGCATTTGATCACAAACGTTTGGTTGTTGGGTACATTATCAAAGAGCTTTGGGGGTGATTTGGCTGACAGCAAGGCGAGCGAACGTTCTTAAGCAACAATAATTTATGGTGGTCCTGAAAAGAACCGTTTTTTCGTGATGGTTGAGTAATGCTGAGCTATTGCACTGAACGAAAACATCCGCAATACATCAACTGATTATTGTATTGCTCGAGCCCTTTAACAATGTGCTGTCGATTTTCGGATGATTTCCTTATGGTTGAAATCGTCATCAACTGATGAGCATCCATATGACTGTCCTCCAAATAAAGGATGATATTTATTTGAAAATTGGCTGTAAAACATACAGGGCTCAGAGGACAACAATTTAAGGATAGGATGACTTGCAAATGCTTTGGATTAGATTATCAATTCGAATGTTTACATTTCCATATTGAATAGCCATGAACAGCCATTCATCATGGATACAAAAATTCCTAATTGGTTGGTAGAGGAAACTTCCTCCACCACGAAATAGACAACTTACGGTTTCCACGCTTTGCCAATGCTCGTACCACCTCTGATAGCGATGGCTATGCTTCCACCGCGTTTTTCTGCTCAGAGCAACAAATGACGTTCGATAGAATTATTTAAATTATCGTTTTGAATGATTTGCGTTAAGGGGCTGAACCAATACCAAATGCATTTTTATTTAAGATGACTATCATTCTCCAGAAAGCATTACGCATTCTAACTGAAGGCCTTATCTCTTCTCATAACAATGTTCATTCTGTATTTGAGAGGAAAATCATATAATTTCAAAACAATCGTCATCCGGTTGCAGCTATCATTCGAAAAGGCAATTTCGATGTTTCGATTTGAATGGTCTGAGGTTTCATTCGAACAGAGAACGGTGGTTTGGTACAGTGTGGTGAGTTCAACACGGATGAGGCTGGCGAGCTTTGTTGTTTGGAACGAGGGTGACGCGCTTAGCGTAGATGGTCAACAGCGGCTCACGACGAGCAACTGAATCCAATCAGTAGCGATGCGGCTTTTTCCTCTTTCTTTAATGAATTGACGCTCATGTCGACTGCAGCTCACTGCTTGCGGGCAGCCTTTCGTTGTGTTCTGGAGAAGAATGTACAACGCCACGCACCGAAAGCACTGCTGCTTGCTGATGACGACCGACCTGACATCACCACTCACCACACGCGGTGATTAAATGAACACCGTTCGGCGAGACCGGATGGAATTCGATTTTGAAATCTGTGTTAGGGAAAGCGCTTTTCGCAGACAATCGGTGATAATTTTGATCACCATTGCAACAGTTGGACATTTGTGTAATTTTAAATAGTGACCTATTGAAAATTGATAAAGTGTTCATTTTAGCAGATTCGTAGATACATTTCCAACCGATTGGCTTGTTTAGATTAAAATCCATCCGCTATTGACAAAGTTATAAGTGGTCAAAACCTGACCACTTTTCGTAACGCGGTCGATTTTGGTTTTTAGAAATTGCACCCGCAATATGTTGCCGAAAGACGTACTCCTACGTCAAAAATAATGACTAATAGGAAAAATATCTACGGTAAAAAATTTCACGTAATTTTAGGTTATTGAGAGTCCACGGTAACATTGGGCATCCCGAACATATTCTACTGCAGCCGGAGAAGTGGCCAATTCTTCATATCAAACTTCATGAATTTTTAAACTCGGCCAGTGAAGACCTTGCTGAGAGAATCCGTGGTTACATTGGCCATCCTTAACATGTTCCAGTGCCTCCGAGGTAGGGCCAATTCACGAACAGAATAAAATCCTGCCATGCGGCAAGGTGCCCACTGAATTTAAGATTTTTAAATCCCTGATAATTTCATGAATTGAAAGGTCTTACCTTTTTGTAACATGCTAGCCTAATAAATCAATATCACAGTTTTCACTTGAATCGTTAATTCAGAAGATTTAAGGCAATTTGCGTTTTAAAACTATGGGCCGAACATTAGGGAGTCATTTTGAGACGTGTTTTTAATTATGGCCTACGAAATTTATATATTGACCTTATATTGGTATTGATGAAGTCATTTGCGAGGACGACGAGTCTGCAACTCTTTACTCCTGTAGGAAAATCCCATAATCAAATGTCAGTTTCGAGAAACATAGCGGATAGTTTCTTTACATTTTCACTCCACTGAAAAGTCCCGAAGGAAAATCGGGTCTAAACGGTACGTTAATTCGCGTCTACAAAGCTTCTATAACTCTTTACTCCTATCGGGAAATCCCATAAGCGAACATCGCTGTACACGCTATTTCAAAACTACCCAAATTTTGGTTCAATCCACCCAGATCGGTCAAAACTGAACCTACCCAAAAATGGGTAAACTATGTTGGGAGTGACAAGTTGACAAATGAACAAAGTCGATCGGATTCATGTCGCATTGAAATTCCCGGTTATTTCCCGGAATATGCCGGTTGTTCTCAATTCCCGTTTAAATCCTGGTTCTCCGGTTAGCAAGTTTGGGTCAAAAGGTTTCTTGTCCTCTTTTTAAAATCTTATTTCAAGATATAAAAATTCATTGCACTTGCTATCGAACAATTGTGTTCCATATATTGATTGAGATCTACCTCCTAACCCAGTGTACCACCACTAATCTCAACAAACATTGGAAGCAGAATAAGAGTTTATTCATGCAAAAATGTACTTCTTCAGGTGAAAATAGCTTATTCAAATATTAATGGGCTGCAATTGCTCTTTAGAACTGCTTTGAATCCATAAAGCTCATAAGATATGGCATATCCACACAATTTGCCTCAAAAGCCATACCAACCAGTCTTGGAACTTTCACTAAATGTTCTTTGAAGTCTTCCGGAATGACCTGCAAAGTTCCTTCTCTTCCAACAAAATCTCCTAAACACGCTCCTTTATCACCAGGGCAGGGTTGCTTCCACTCACTTGCTATAAAACAATGGTTTTCTAAATTATGAGATCATTAGATGATATAATTATATTCTGTACTTGTAAGTAACAAGAAAAGGATGTCAAGGATGTGTTTGACTCATAAAACCTGTCAATTTCGCTTTGAGAGCGTCACAATAGGCGATCTTATGATTCGCGAGCGTTCACTCTGAGTGAGCGCTCACGATTCGTTAAATCGCTGATTGTGACGCACTGAAAGTAATATTGAGAGGTTTAATGTGTCAAACACATACTTCACGACCTCTTCTTGTAACTTACAAGTACTAATTATCATTATCACATCTTATGTTTTCATAATTCGGAAACACAATTTTTATGACAAGTGAGTGGAAGTAACCCTGCACCAGGGTGTCTGCTTGATGAAGAAAACCATATTCCTCGATTTTCCAGAAATTAAAAAAAGAAAGATACACTGCCTAGCCTACCCGGTTTTGGCAACACGACCTCATCAGCTATTACTTTCCTCAGATATGTACTTGTGTATTCTGTACAGGTTTTCATGAAATACCACATGGACCTCTAACCCATGAAGAGTGATCCAGTTCAATCTCAAATTGAGTAAAGCGTTCGATACATTTTATAGAACGTAAAATAGACAGAAATCGCGGGTTGCAAAAAAACGGGAAGGCGCCGCATTTTTCTTCACAAATTGTATACGTGGTAAGCGCCAGGTAATCAGTTCAAGCATTTTATTAAACTGTAACCATCTCGATACAAATCTACAAAAAAAAGGATTGCTTAATCGCTTAGAGTTTTTAGTAAGTTTATGGTCCGGTTCTTAACTCAACACGAGAAGAGGTCCTTGAAATGGCAATTTTCTCACCCTTAGAAGTTCTTTTCTGACTGTTTCCGAATGCAACGCTAGGGGCAAAAATTCAATCAGTTCTTCTACATCTTACATATGAAACACTTGTCTTTAATCCCATCATATTTTAATTTCCCTTGAGCACATTTTGAGACCCAGATCCGTAAGAACACTATGCCTGATAATACGGTCAACCAATCGCTGATTCGCGGCCGAATTCTTCCGGTGGGAAATCGTAAAAACAGCGCTCTTCTAAAGCAAACCATTTATCTTTTCAAGCAAAGTCAGAGAGGTAATAATATTTAAATCTTGAGATCACATAAGAAGTGTCTTAAAACCAAAATAGCGACAATGTATGGAATAGCCAGGAAGAATATATAAGAGCATGATACTACTGTTCAGCATGATTGTACTAAACCTATCGGAATGCCCTGTATGCCATAAATACTCTTCTAATGCGTCACCATTCTCAGCCACAAAGCCAAACAATCTATACTACCACACTAAAAACCAATGCAGCCAAACACATCTAGTAAACCTCCCAACTTACGGTATCATCCTCAGACACCTTCAGCGCATCCAAGTTGATGTTGTTCATCTTGGTAATGTTCAACTTGCTGCCGACTCCACCTCCACCACCAACTCCCTTCTGACTCTGCGGCATATCGTTATCGAAAAACTGAATCGCATCGTTGATTCCCCCACCGGACGACAGCAGCGGAATGCTATCATCGCAACGATTGTCGGAAAAGTTGTTAGAATCGTAGTACGATCCCGTCAGACCGGAGCCCGAATTGTTCGTATTGGAGCTGGACGCAGTGGCGCCACTGGACTGCCGTTTGGGAATTCCCGAAACGGACGACGCTTGCGACGACGAGTGGTGCTTCGAACCGTTTTGACCCTGGGAGGAAGATCGTTTGGAGTTGGCGCCACCACCAGGGGCGGCCGATCGCGATATGTTGTCGAACTTTTGTTTGGCACGTTCGAAATCGAACATATTGTTAAGGGATTTGTCTTTGACGTCGTACGGCGAATCGCTATCGATGAAGGTCGGTTTGGCATCGTAATAGGATCCGGAGAGGAACGAAGGTTGAGTTTCCGTTCCGGACGAGCGCGATTTCGACTGCATTTGACGGTCGTTGTAGTGGCGAGAGTCGAACAACTGTTTGAGATCGTTTATGTTCGGCTTGTAGTTGGAGTTGGAGGTGAAGTTGGATTTGTTAGTGACTTTGTAGTTGCCCAGGTCCTGTAGGGTTTTCGGGCTTCCGCTGAACAACAGTGCAGGGTGTTAGTAAGCAGAGTGAATGATTTCGAAAGCGTCAGCAGCGTCCACGGGCAATGAGGGCGGGTGGGATTATAGGTTAGTAATCAACTGTCTACGGGTAGGTTTTTGGATGAGGAAAAGAAGCAAGACTACTGGGGTACTTACCTTGTCTGCAAATGTTGAATCTGCACCTGAAGACCTTCGGTTTGACCGGAAAGTTCTTCGTTGGTACGCTGCAACCGTCGAACGTGGTTACATGCGGAGTCCAGTTCATCCTCTGCTCCGGCTAGTTCACGTTTCAGTTCTTCAACTCGCGATCGCAAGCGCTTCACTTCTGTTTCGTACTGTTCGGCTCGGCGAACTGCATGGCCAAGTTCTGTATTCGCTTCGGACAGCATTTTCTTCATTTTGCTGTGCGAGTGGCGAATGTCGCTGATTTCCTGTTTTGGAGAGAATCTTCCTACAAACTATTCCGCGGTAGACAATCAGATAAATGTCACTCACCTTGTTCTTGTCCAGCAGCTCTTGCTGCAAAGCGCGGAACTCATTATCACTGTTACTGACCGGACCTCGTCCCTTTCGTTCCAAGCGTTCCTGCAGGTCTTGGCACTCGGCTCGAAGTTTCTTGTTCTCCCTCTCGAGATTCAACTTCTCCGTTTCCAAGCGCTCACGTTTGCCCCACTCGGCGGCATTTTCAGCTTGCATCCGCTCCAACTGGAAAAAACCTAAACTTAGAACAAGTTCCACCTAACGTCAGACTTCCCTACCTCAGTCCTCAGCTCACAAAGTCTCCTTTCCAGCGTCTCCCGGGCAGCTACCTCTTCCGAAAGTGAATTGTTCGTAATTCTAATCTCCACCCGATGTTGCTCCTGCAAGGTCAGTAGCTCCCTCACGGCGTCCTGCTTGGCCGCTCGCAGCTCCTCGCACTTATCCCTCAGTTCCTGCATGTCCTGACGGAACTTTTCGAAATTCTTATGAATACTGTTCTTCTCCTCCCGCTCGATTTGAATCGTCTTTTGAGAATCGTCCAACCTTAGCTGCAACATCGAAATTTTTTGCATCAGATAATCCTCATCATAATCATCCTTCGACAGTTGCTGAATCAGTCTTCTCTCCTCGGCCATCACATCGTTCTTATCTCTCAACTCTACGGAATGTTTTGGTATGGCACCACCCTGCAGGATGTACTCCTCGACATCCAAATCATCCTGACCACTGTCATCCGGTAAATTGTTCACCTTCGTCACCAAACCATCCTCACTGTTGACGTTCTTCAACCCATCCGAGGAAATATCCGGTGAGCAGTTGTTATCCCGTCCGTCCCGTTCCGGCTCGTCAGCCGCATCCAAACTGGCCTTGTTGAACTGACCGGCGTGTTTCATCATCAACATGTGCACCTTCTCCATTTCCTTCTTCAGCTGGGTGATTTGAATTTCCAGCTCGCATTTTTCCCGCTTGTACGAATTGGACTCCTTGATGGCCGCTTCCAGGCTGCTGCGAAGTTGCTTGGATTCCTCACGGGCCTTGTTGCGCTCGGTGCGGACCTGTGAACGGGTAATTAGGAAATTGATGTTAATAGTTGGAATTTTGTTTTTAAAGAATAACCTCCAGAGCGGCCAATAGCCGCCCGGTGTCTTTGTCCAGCTCGATGAGCACTTGCTGAAAGCTCTGCATTGTGCTTCCCTACAATGTGGCTACTTATAAACGAATGGCAAAAAAGCATCGATTATGCTTCAAGTTGTCTCTCATTTGAACAAAAAGTTGGGCGTTGGGTTGACCTTGATGAATAGGGGAAACCACAGTTTTAGCGATTGCTATCTACGAAAAGATATGAACATAGGTATACAGTACCGGTAGCAATATTCGGAACATAAAGTCAGAATTTAATAGTAGAACTGCACTGCCAACGAATCAATGCGCGGTATTCGTAGAATCGTTTAAGGCATCGTAAAACAAACAAACTATCCTCGAACCAGCGTCAACCGCAACGAGACTGTCTGTTGACAATGTTCAGCAGATGAGAGCTAGTCGATGTGAATGGAGAATAGTTTTGCAAATCGGAACCAGTCACGCGATGCCGACAGAATGGCTGCTCCTTAGGAGTAGTTATTAAAATATGTAGAAGCAAACATGCAACGGTGCCTAAAAGGGTACATTATTGAAAGGAAACCTTTTTCCAGTGGGTATGTGTTTTACTATAAACGTGTGGTAGAATTGTAATCTCATATAAAGATTTCATAAGTAATATTGCATAAAACTTCAACGTCAGTCAAAATAAACGAGATGTTGCCCTTTCCAATAACTTGTGGCCGGATGGTATTCAGTTGTGTAAGTTCGATGATTTACGGTCGAAGAAGGTATTGATCCGGCACATTAAAAGTAATTTCAGGTTACTTCTACGTGACGACTAACGTTGCACAGTAGGAGAAACCGAACCAAAAAACGGAACTTATTTTTGCCACTGTTTGAGATCCTATTCCTACGTAAATAAAATCGAAAAATCCATTGGTGATGGTTTCATCAACGGCAGATAACGGGAAGTGGCCTATTTTGCCCCATTTCTCCTAAATTTAGCATGGATCTTAGGAAATCCTTTTCTAATGTACTCTTCCTCAAATCTTGATGGGTGATTTAAAGCATTTTATTAATTAAAAATGTTTAGGAAACGCTCCAGTTATTGGTCTATTTTGCCCGAATTGGCCCTGTATTGCTTGAAATTTAAGTAACTGTACAGAAAACTACTGTAATACGTAAAATATTATAATAAACTACACCTGTCTGGCACGAAAATATTAGCGCCTTGTCCAGAATCCCGAAAAAGGTCAACTTTGCCCAATTTCCAACTTATACTGCATTAACATTAAATAACTGCACAAAAACTAATATGATTCTCGGAAAATAAATGTATTCCATAAAGAGAAAGAGAAGGACACTACCATATTTGCTTATCCTTGACAGATACGCGTATTTTGTCTATAATGTGCAGACTTCTTCAGTTCCGAATATATATTAACCCAGGTACATGTTCACTTAGAAGCTAAGTAAAGTTAAATTTAATTTCCTGTAGGAAATTAAACGCTGTTTACTCGTTGATGTGTCCTAGGTAGTAACTTGAAAAGCCATGTGTGTCCGTTTCCTTGATCCCTGTTGAGTAAAGTTGAATTACGTTGTTTGTTGATCTCGGCTTGAGGCTTTCTGCAACATCCAATTTCCATGGTGTAGATACGGTCCGTAAAATCATGATGTCCTCCGTCGATAGTTGGTGGTCCTCTGTGAAGATGTGTTCTGCAACCTTTGATTTGAAATCATATGTTGGGCCTTTTTCCTCTTGATTTTTGGCCGTATTAACCTCCGCTATATGTTCTTTGAATCTAGTTGCTAAAGTTCTCTTGGTTTGTCCTATAATGTCCTTTGTTACAATGATTACAGCTTATTTGATATACACCTGCTTTACCTAAAACATTAACTGGGTCTTTAGTGAATCCTAACAATGATTTCAACTGGTTATGTCTACTGGTGAAAACTAAATCTAATCCGAATTTTTTTAACAGTGGTCGTAGCTTACTCGTTTCAAGGATTCAGGTGCTGCGATGAGGGTTGTAAATAATTTCCTTTGTAGAATTCTCGCTTTTTTATCAATGATTGCCTGGATTGGGGTCTCCTTGTATCCGTTGAGTCTCGCTGTTTCGAAGATGTACTGTAATTCCTTAACCTTTCCTGTATCGCTGAGTGGAAGAGTCTGCATTCGAAGAATCATGTGGTGGACGGCGGCCATTTTCTGCTGGAACGAATGGTTGGAAGTATAGGGGATAACTCTTTTGGTGCTTGTTGATTTCCTGTAAATTTCGTATTCAAGCAAAGAAGATGATGACGATTCCCTAATGACTAGAATATCGAGAAATGCGAGTTTCCCGTCTTTTTCTGTCTCGTGATTGAATTTGATATCCTTGTGAATTTTATTGATCTCATCTAAAATTTGTGGAAGGGCTTCCCGTTTAACTACGCTGAAGATATCGTAAACAAACCTCCACTAACGGTTTGGTAATAGTCCTTTCTCCTTCATGATTGTCTCCAAGTTGGCCATGAAAAGTTCACACAGGAAGGGGGATAGGGGGTTTCCCATTGGGGCTCCTTGCGTCTGCTTGTAGAAGTTACCTCGGAAAGAGAAGTAGTTCTTTTCCATACAAAGGCGGGTCAGCTTAAGGTACGTCCGAACCTTGTTTCTTCATGCTGCATCCTCTCGTTGTGTTAATAGCCAGTCCTCCAAATGGTTGATCGCTTCCATGACCGGTACGCTAGGAAAAAGAGCTATGACGTCGAAAGATACCATAATCTCGTCCTCGTTGATGTCTCCTGAAGATTGTAGTTGCTGGGCGAACTCCTGGGTGTTACTAACTGCTTTACTCTGGAACTGATTCGGCATACTCTGGAACTCTGTGACTAGCCAATTCGCTAGTTTGTGGGTGGGAGAAGCAACTGCAGACACGATCTCTTGCATTTCATTCCCCGGTTTGTGGACTTTGGGTAAACCTTTGATCCTGGGTAGAATGGGATTGGATTCCCGTAAACGACCTAGTATTGATTTGCACTCCTTCAGTGCTTTCTCCACGCGTTTCACTATATTCTGTAAGGGGTCTACTCGAAGCTGTCTGTACGGTCCGTTGTTGATCTTCGTTGTCATCTGATTGTCGTAATCGTGCTTGTCTATGATAACGACCTTGTCTGCTTTCACATAGTATACTGCTTTACTTGTCAGCTCTTTTACAATCCGAATTTCCTTTTCGTTGGAGCGACTTTGTTCCTGTCCGTCCTTGATTATGTACGATGTGATAGTCCTGACCGTATTCTGTGATGATGTTGGAAGTGCCTTGGTAATCGCTGTCTCTACTTCATTGATGATCTGCTCCATGTCTGGCTTGGTTGTAACCGCGTATCGTAGCGCCTTGTTGAGGTGTGTCAATTGTTCTTCCGTGAATGCGGTCGTCGATGGGTTGACAACCAACCCATCAATGGAGTGAACCCTCGGCGTCGTGGTGATGGTGGATGGGATCTGCTCACCCGTTCGGTGTGTCGTCCGTCTCCGTTAAGACTCGCGTCATAGTCTGTTTAGCTTCCTATCGTGCAGCTTCCGTTTCCTATCCGATTCGCACTCCTCTGCTACCTTGGCCCTAGACAGAAATTCCTGGCATTTAATTGGATACTCCTTGGCCAATTTGAGATGCAGAGAATAACATTCCAAAATCTTCATGTCCAGTTTGCTATATAGTCGTCTGATGCTATCCTTGATGAACTATGCTTCCATCTTCTTTACTACGCTGGGTGGGGATGGTGTCCGTAACTTAATCCTTATCTCCAGAAATTCCATGAAATTCTCCAAAAATGTCCATTATCTCCAGAATTTCTTTAAAGCTATCATCAGAATTCGATTCTTTTGGATTTTTTCACAGTACTCTTTTCTGATTTATCAGAATTTAATATTTTTTTTCATCAGAAGATTTTCTTATTCCAATCGAAATTCCCGTAAGAATGTCTATGATTCCGTATCTATCAATGAGGCTTGGATATTTTGAAAATTAAAAAAAAAAAACAAGAATCTTTAATATTTAAGTACTCCAATCAACGGCGCCGGTGGTGTAGTGGTAAGCGTGATTACCTCTCACCCCAGCAGGCCATCTCTGATCACGAAGGGAAGTAAAGCCGTTGGTCCCCGGTTCATGCGTTGATGGGTCGATAGGTAGGGTCCAGGTGTGGGAGCTGCCTTCCTGGCGTCGGTAGCATTGGTGCTCAGCACGGAAAACAAGATCGACGGAAAACAAACCAAAGGAAAAAAAAAAAGTTCTCCAATTAAGAATTCCGATTTCGAAGTTTAATATCGCACTTTTCACATTTCAATCTATTGAACCATACAGTTCCATAGCTTTTGGTCGGATCCGGAAAATTTTGATTATGTATCCTTGGAGGTTGATTGATTAGACTTAATTATTTAAGACAGTTAGATTCTCCATCAAAAGTGTAGAAATAACTTATTTAAGATTCCACTTTCATGCATGGCGTTTATGGTTGTAGCACCGGTAATATCGGGTGATTTTCTGGTACCGAAATACCGGTACTGGCATCTGAAAATACCGGTATTTTCGGTACTAGTTAGGGGCTGTTCATAAACTACGTAGACAAATTTTAGGGCTTCTTGACACCCCCCTCCCCCTGCGTAGACAATTGTCCATACAAAAATTTTAAAATTTGTATGGGCCGTGGATAATTGTCACCCCCCCCCCTCTAAACTGTCTACGTAGTTTATGAACAGCCCCTTATTTGAAAAATGCTAAAGCTAATTTCAATTTTTGACGTTAAACATATGGTTAAGTATTTTTAGTAGCACTGTCAACAAGTATTGTTTTCATGCTGTCGTGGTGCTGTTACCCTTGGTTACATGAGTAACTAGCACCGTAAATGAATTTGATTTTTGTTAAATCGGAACTAGCTAGGCGCAAAAATATCGATCTATGATGTACCCAAGGAGTATCCAAAACATTCAGATAAGTTT